AACAGAAATCACTTTTCAAAAACTACAGCGAACGATTGGACTACAACGCATATTTTCCGGGATTTGTGATATCACAAATATCGGCGGATGGGACGAGACCTGGTTGAGCTGCACTAGAGAAGGCCACGAGTGTTATCACTATGTCGGAGACATGCTAGCTTTCCCAAGGCAGACGAACTTAGAGTGGCTACAATCATCCGGGTTTAAATCGCGCTCAAACTGATTTGATTTTGACGCAATATATACACTGAAGCTCGCAGGCGGCTATGGTAAGGGTCATGACATTTCTCGACCAGGTCGCCGAGTGCTGCCAATCACAACACACACTGGCCCAGCTAACCAATCACAGCACATTTTGTATTTCAGAAGGCGGGCCTTCATTTGATACAGGAACTATTCGAGCCATTCATGCCAGACTGGGGAGAGAGGTGTTGTAATAATGTAAAATATGTGAAAAAATAATGTGTTTTTCGAACAACCTAGTATGAGACTTTGTAAAAGAGCATAATAGGACCCCTTTAATATTTTTTTATAACAAAGAATGGAATATATTTATTTGTATTTTCATACAGTATTCACTTTTTATTTCATCTGGTGTCTTAGTGATTTTCAGTAAATACTGTATATGTAGTCAATTCTCCTCAAGTTCACAGGGTGTAGTTCATTACATTAACTACGAACATTTTCCGCTAACATTTGACAACCAGAAAGTGTCCAGATACTCTTTGTCTATAAAGAGATGTAGTGGTAACCTTATGATTATAAGCTAATGGCTGCTAATACAAGTTACTGATTCAAAACTAAGAACAAATGACCTAGAAATGTAAGTTACAGTGCTTCTCAATTATATGGGTATTATGTCCATAAAAGTTGCCTGAGGGGACAGTAATTACTGACTGCAAGTTGCTTAGGAAGAAAATTGTGAGTAATCATGATTCACATTACTTTTAGAGAGTTTAACCAAGAGATTCCAGCTGCTCCCAAATGCCAAAACCCAATCACACTTTTGTCCTAACATTACAAAATAACACACTGAGAAACCCCAGCAAACGTCTTGCCTATATATACAGTATATATACACAGTGGTGTGAAAAAGTGTTGGCCCCCTTACTGATTTCTTATTTTTTTGCATGTTTGTCACACTTTAATGTTTCAGATCATCAAACAAATTTAAATATTAGTAAAAGATAACACAAGTGAACACAACATGCAGTTTTTAAATGAAGGTTTTTATTATTAAGGGAAAACAAAATCCAAAACTACATGGCCCTGTGTGAAGAAGTGTTTGCCCCCTAAACCTAATAACTGGTTGGGCCACCCTTAGCAGCGAGACGCAGATGAATTAGTTTCTTCTTCGTAACAGATTTGGAGAAATTTAGCTTTTTTAATGTGCAAAGACAACAGGGGATGGATCTTTTCCCTGGAGGAAGAGTTGTTATGGATTATGGACTCATATTTTGTCCAGAAGCAACAGTTTAAAGTAAAAAGAATGACAAAAATGCTTAATGCATAAATACAGCCAAATACAAAAGTTTACTCTATTTGATAGCGTGCATGAACACAGGCATTCGACACGTGCACTGGAAACGAACACGTAACGATGCACCCCAAGGCTGTTGAAAATCAATAAAAATATGTGATGATTCACGTCGGTTGAGATGTTACATGAATCAATGAATCGCGATACATTAGGTGGTGAGGGTTTATATGAATGTATCTTTGAGAGGAACTGACTGTCTTCAGAAAAGTGTAGTGTTTGTAAGTGCAGCTGCTTGGTTTACAGCGGTAACCAAGGAAATGCTGTATTGCCGCTGTTCCATAAGCGCCACCTGCTGTCGGACAGTGAATTTACGTTCTTGCGTTTAAAATTATAAAATCTCATTTAAATCAAAAAACTTCTCATGCTGTATGTATGCTGCATCTTTGTTTGGATTGTGATTAAAATGCAGTGTCTGCCTCTAATTTTCAATGGAAAGAGCACAGGCTGCTAAGTTTACCTTAGTTTGTTTATATGAAGATACTGATTTTATTTATATTATTTATTTGATTTGGGATTTGTTTCGAAATTAAAATTTTTGTTATTTGACATACAGTATTGGCCCGAATATAAGACGACCCTGATTATAAGACGCACCCCCCCTTTTTCCAGATGTACCTTTTGGAAAAAGGCTTTTTAAAAACCAAATCTAGTTTTTTCTCAGTAAAACACATTTTGTCTTCCATTATTTTCATATTGCATATTTTTCCTATTTTAATTTTTGTTTTGAAAGTATGGTAAAAACTGGTAAAATGTACCAACAATCACATTTAAAAAAAATATACACTTTTTGATATACCATAAAAAAAATAAAAAAAAGGTAGCCCATCTGAATTAGGACATTTAAGCTATCCATCTAATAGTAGCCTACCAAAATTTTATTAACAGTAGAAGTTCAATCTTACTGTAGTCTTCAAATCTGGGTACTGTCTTGCGTTTTAAAATCACAAAGAGAGTTTGGTCCCATCAGGCTAACGTGACAGTCACGACTCATGCAGCTGTAAGCTTTACTTTTTCTTTTGTTTTCACTCGCGATCTTTACAACACGCATTACATTACGTATTTCATGGCACACTCGTTTTTTGCGTGTTTGTCGCCACTTATTGTTGTGGGTGTATTATTGACATGTCAAAGTCTAGACCCTGAATATAAGACGACCGTGTTTTTTCAGATGTATTTCCAAGAAAAAAAACATCGTCTTTTATTCGGCTCAATACAGCATTTCAATTTCACAAGGAAATGTGCAGCATTTTGTATGAGAAATAGTAAAATGAGACATTTTCATAACTTGCCTTAAATCTAATTTTGTTAAAAAAAAAAAAATCGTATCGTGAATCATATCGCATCGTGAGTTGAGCAAGTTGTTGCATCCCTACTAGAAACTTTGCCCAGTGTCTGCGCTATTTCTCTCAAGGAATTATGTTTTTAGTGCTCTTTAAACTAAAGTTGCGTGTATTTCTTAACCCCCCCCCCCTACAAAAGTGTTCAACACCGTGTTCAACACAGATCTCCAGTAGTTTGTTTTTGTTGTCTTTCTATCTTTTTTGACTCTGAAACAACAGCCTGGGTATGGGGGTAGAATTGTTGCTTAATTCCAAATAAATAGATTATGATCCACAAATAAATAGAATGAGATCCACAAATAAATCTTAAAGTTTCACAAACATGAATTAAATTCACAAATAAATAAAATGAGATTTGCAAATAAAAAACATTCACAAATATATATTTATGTCACAACCACAACTTTGCCTGGCATTTATTTGTGAATCGCGTCCTGTGCATTTGCGAATTGTGAAACATTTCTTGCGTCAAGACGTGCTGACAATCCACAAATACGTGGACTCCACCCACCGTCTACTCAAGCCAATCAGATAACAGACACATTCGCTGACCAATCGTAGCACGATCTCGCTATAGCCAATCACGTTTTGCTTTACAATCAGGGCGGTCTCGTCCTGAGATAACTTCATGCATCTGCATTGGCTCAAATAGGTCATATAAGGGCCATACAATGGGTACAGTAAAAGATGTTTAAAACTGGATTTCGTTAGACCATTAGACTGTGTATCATGCCAAGCCACAGTATTTTATGTTACGTGCCTTTGAAAATGCCAGAGAAACAGTGTGTGACGAAGTGTAGTGGGTTAGACTAGTGTTTCACAATTCGCAATTGCACAGGACGCGATTCACAAATGCGTGCAGCTATCTACAAATGCACAGGACGCGATTCACAAATGCGTGCAGCTATCTACAAATGCACAGGACGCGATTCACAAATAAATGCCAGGCAAAGTTGTGGTTGTGACAAATATATATTTGTGAATATGTTTTTTATTTGTAAATCTCATTTTATTTATTTGTGAATTTAATTCATGTTTGTGAAACTTTAAGATTTATTTGTGGATCATAATCTATTTATTTGGAATTAAGCAACAATTCTCCCCCGATACCTGGGTCAGTGTTGCCACCTTGTGGATGAAATAATTGCAAAATAATTCAATGTGCTTGAAAACCAGGCTGAGCACACACTATGCTGTGTACACCCTAGTGTACACACACACACACAAAAAAAGAATACTTTCACCATGATAAAGAAATGTTTTTCCAATCTAGTTTTAAATGATTTGAAAAACTTTTATACCACTTAAAATTTTTACTATATTTTTAAAAATATCATGTGGTGTAACCATCAAGTAAAACGTAGTAACTAATTTTCCTTACACTCAGAATATACACAAAATACATGTGAAAGTGTAAATATTTTTCAATATGAAAATATTTTTTTATAAATATAATATCATTGTTTTTAGACTTTGACTTTGTTTAGGGGACAAATGTTTTTCAAATATTCATAAGCAGTAAAGCAGTTGTGTTAAATTATTATTTTAAAAAAACAAACTAAAAAAACATTGCTTTATTTTCGAGATTTTAATTGTTTTCATTTTATTTTCAAGAACTGTTCATTTTTCTTCATTGTGATAGGACAGCTGCATCACCCTGATTTGTTATTTAATTTTTAATTCAATAAAGTTCACTCACCCAGAGGCAGGCTGCGATTTCTGAAGGCATTGCCCAGTGCATAGCAGGCGTTCCAGCGCACTTTCATGGTTGCATCTCCTCTAACTGTATCTATCAGTGCCCTCATGGCCTCCTGCAGGGGCTGCTCAAACACAGGCTTTCCCAGGTGCACCGGCTGCAGGAAGTGAAGCAGATTCCCAAGCGCACGGACAGCATTGCTCTTTACCTGCAACACGGGAAACCCTTATCAAATTTGGAGTTCATTATCTCTTGATACGTTATAGAAAGGAGCCTTTTGTTTCTGCCTTTAATGAGGATGCACCATTATTCAAATTCTGACCGATAAGCTGAACTATTTTAATGTTAACACCGAATGTATAACACCTTATATGGCTAGATGAACAAGAAACTGAAATGTGTTAATGATAATTATTAAAGCCAAGGTCTATTTTCAAATGATGACTTTAAACTTTTCTTTATGCATGAACACACAGATTTACACAGCTACTCTTAAAGGGAAAGTGTTATTACAGAAAACAAACTTTTCAGGAAATGGTGCTTGTAAAAGGTTAAATCGGGTTTTTAACGCATCTTGAATGGACAGTAATGTCCACAGTTAAATATCAAAAACGTTGAATAATTAATATCCAGTGTCAACTGATAATAATAACTACAATAAAAACACTAAGCTAAAAGCTACTAAATATACACTACTGTTGAAAAGTTTGGGGTCACTAAGATTTTGAAAGGAATTAATGATTATTTTCATGAAGGATGCATTAATTTACATTTGTGACTCTTAAGTATATTAAGTAAAGTATATATAAGTAAAGATCATGTTCCATGAAGATATTTTGTAAATTTCCTACTGTAAATATATTAAAACTTAATTTTTTGATTAGTAATATGCATTGCTAAGAACTTCATTTGGACAACTTTAAAGGCGATTTTCTCAATATTTAGATTTTTTTGCTCCCTCAGATTCCAGATTTTCAAATAGTTGCATCTCGGCAAAATATTGTCCTATCATAACAAACCATACATTCAGTTTTTATATGATGTATAAATCTCAATTTCGAAAAACTGACCCTTATGACTGGTTTTGTGGTCCAGGGTCACATTTAATAAAGACAGTTATAATGTCCAAAAAAATCTCAGATAAATGCTGTTCATTTCAACTTTATTTATCAATAATTGAAAACATTTTTTATCATCAAGTTTCCGAGCAGTAATGATAATAAAAAAAATGTAAGTAACAGTATAATTTCATCAATAACATTAAATATGACTTAGTTTACTGGTAACATTTAGGCTTTGATGGGATCTGATCTGCCCTTATAAAACATATTTTTTAACCCCTTAGCATTCCTGTAAAATTTGGTGCTCTGACAAAGACACTGATTATACCTGCTGCGTTGATTGTATCTTAAAACGACAAGAATCTCAGCTTTCCAAAGATATGCGACATGTTTAGCTTTTTGTTGTTGTATGTCATGAAGTTAACCCTCAAAAACACACAGTGTACCACGGGTGGTACAGTGGAACTCTAACAAACAACCTATTCTCTCCAACAGTGGTATGTATCAGGAATTCCTAGCCCGAAATATCAAATGTTTGCATAATTTAGCAAAGTAGCACAACGTTTCAAGGTTGGAATACATTTTATTTAGCAGCTTCAGAAATCTTTTGAAGATGCCGTGAACACATCACGTAAAAGGCTTCTGGCATCAGTAACAAAAACAGAAATACCCACCCTGTCTTTATCTCCTGAAGCTTTAGTGGCAGATCTCAGCATGTTCAGAAGCAGCATATCAGAGAACTCCTCCTGAAACTCCAACCCCACCAACTGCCTGAGGACAACAAACGAGCAAAGGAAAACCATCTGTATAACTACATTAATGTAATTAAACACAGATGTGGTCAATTGTCTTTCTCACATGTTGACAATGAGCGTGTCGGTGAGGTTGCCAAGCGACCAGGCTGCCTTTGCACGAACGTTGGGCGAGCGGTCATCCAGAGCAGTGAGGATGGCATTAGCGGTGTCTGCCACAAACATCACATCCTGTGGTCATAAAAAAAAAAAAGCTAAATTAGTAAAGTTAAATCAGTGCGGAGTACTTTTCTAGGTGGATGAAGGTGGACTTACTACGTTATATATATTAAATATACAACTAAATAAAAGTAAAATATATTCTAAATATTTAGAACATTCTTTAGAAATTAAAAGTGAAGCTCTTTCACTATATGAGAAGGCTGATCTGTACCTCTCTCAGACAGGGAAAGAGGATGTATACGCCTAGAGCTCTCACTGCTGCCGCCTTTACCAGTGAGTTTTCGCTGTACGTCAGTCCCAGCAGTATTGTGATACACAGCACTTGTGTCTTATCCTGTAGATAGTGATAAATATATATTTACAGGATATACAAATCACAAAGAATATAATGTGGAAACTTAAGAGGTCAAACACACTCACAGGCAGCTGGCTGAAAGCTTGTGGTAGGATGGAGGAGAGGGTGTCACATGCGCTGGTCTGTAGGGTGGGATGCTGCTCGTTCTGTAAGGCACTGATCAGTGGAGCACCCAAGACGTCTGACCAGAACTCAACCACCTGAAAAGGGCAAAAGACCAGCATTACATCAATATCATGATCTTTGAATTTAGTTTTGTGCCACGTCACATGCAGCATTTTTTACCTGACACACTGGCACACATTTGGCACTTTGTGGAGGGGTGTTGGCATCAGATCTGTACTGCTGGATAATGCCTGTTCCCAGTTCTTCCAGAAGCTTGTAAAATACACAGAAATTGTAAAACAGAACAACAACAACAAAAAAAAAACACATGAAACTAAATTTAACAGTTAATATAAAATTACAGGACAGGTGCTTGCCCATTTTTTGTCTTATTAATTACATGATGTGCCAATTTAATTGGACATCAATTTTGGCTATAGAAAGAAATATTTTGATTTAACATTGCATAAATAATAATAAAAATATATTGAATATTGAAATATAAATTATTATTATAAAAAAATAAATGATACTCCAAATATGAAGCAAAAACCATCAGAGGATGGCAGCAAAAATCTTGATGAGGGAGTCATTTAGTTATTAATTCAACCGATTCATAATGGTCAATTCAATCAGAAACGAATCTTTATGAATTGGTCATTGAATCATTGGCTCACAAGACTTACAATCTGAGGTATCCTTCATACAGCATAAAGAGTGCAGGATAAGTTACTTGCTTAAAGGGTTAGTTCACCCAAAAACGAAAATTAGGCTGTGTTTTACTCACCCCCGAGGCATCCTAGGTGTATATGACTTTCTTCTTTCAGACGAATCCAGTCGGAGTTATATTAAAAATGGTCTTTGATCTTTCAAGCTGTTTAATGCCACTCAGCGGGTGTTGCATTGCTTCAGTCCAAAAGAAGTTAAATAAAAATCGCCCATCCATAAAAAAAAAAAACTCTCACACGGCTCCGGGGCCTTCTGTAGCGAATCGATGTGTTTTTGTAAGAAGAAAATCCATATTCAATATCCATATTCAAAACGTAATAATCACTTGAATCTAGTTTGCGCTCACTGTTGTAAACGGAAGCAGTTCCGGGGGAATGACGTATGAGGTCGGTTTTGCGCATGCGCCGCTCAGAAGTGACGCACTCGGAAACAATAATCACTTGAATCTAGTTTGCGCTCACTGTTGTAAACGGAAGCAGTTCCGGGGAATGACGTATGAGGTCGGCTTTGCGCATGCGCCGCTCAGAAGTGACGCACTCGGAAACACAGCGGAGAGATCAAAGCAAAACAATGGTCAAGAATTAGAAGTACAAAACGAGCATTTGTAAAGAAGAATGTCGGAGGATTTTAATATAAGCCAAGAGGAGACTGGTTTTCCTTTGCTAAAGAAAGGAAACTTTACTTCCTTTGCTCCTGTAAACAAACGTTGGTTTTCACGAGACTCACTTTTTATTTAAGTTCTTTTGGACTGAAGCAATTCAACCCCGCTGAGTGCCATGAAACAGCTTGAAAGATCAAAGACAATTTTTTATATAACTCCGACTGGATTCGTCTGAAAGGGGGGGGGTAGTAAAACACAGCCTAATTTTCATTTTTGGGTGAACTAACCCTTTAAGACTAAATGCCTTTTCACACCAAGAGCAATCTTCGATGCAATAAACATTTTAATTTGAATGAACGGCTGTTACATTGTCTGCTCAGATCTAAAAAACATTTGAATTACTGCTTTTCCATAAGCACCACCTGCTGTCTGAGAGAGAATTTGCTTTTTTTTTCAGCCCATCTGCAGATTTCAATCCACTGGTATGAAAGACACATTGCACAGAAAACCTGAATTTACATAGCGAACATGCCTTAAAGGATCATGAAACCCCCCGTTTCAGCACTGGTTAGTACTCACCACAGTTAAAAAAATGCTAAAAAAGTGGGTGTGGTGCGCAGCGGAGAGGAGGAGGGGGAAGAGGGGAGACAGACAACACACACAGCTTTGCATTCAGTTTCATTTCGTTCCCATCGAGTTAAAAACACAAATAAATGCACAGCCATTTGCACTGTGCGTCGAAATCATATATATGAACGCGCTGTTGCAACTCTGAGAACGTTTAAGGCTTATTCTGTGGCGTTTATATAAGCCTTTTGACGGGTTGTGTCACAGAGCTGAAAAAACGGTTATGCTCACCAAGTGAAAGAATCACGTGTGTGCCGAACTCTTATTACAAAGCAAACACAGACACTCTTCTTCGATCCATGAACGTTTCTCTCAGTTAATGTGCGCGATGTCATTTCACAGTCCGAAACGTCTGTCATAGCAAATCAACACAAGCTGTTGTGAATAATTAAGCGAAGTGTCTTCTCATAGGATAAGAACACGCAGTCTCATGAATAATTTTATAGACACCGACGCGTCATCGATGTACTATAGTCCATTGCCCCGTCACAAATTGTGACGTCAACACAATGTAGATTTTAAACCCGGAAGATGAAAATAGAGCAAAAAAGCTTCAAATTAACCAGTTTTCTCAAACAGTTAAAATTATCGGATGCTAACATTGTCTTCCATGATGTGCAACACAAACACCTCTGCTAAAATCTCAGAAAAAGTAGCCTGGGGTTTCATGACCCTTTAAAGTTTAGTGATTTAAACAAAATCCCATGTTTGCCATAGCAAGCACTAGGGCTGTCCATTTTTTTTTTAGAATTTCGAATATTCGTCGAATTTAAAATAAAAATCCGCATTGGAATTTTAGGTGTGCGTTAAGGAGGCAGCCTTATCAGTGGCGCATGAGATACGATGACGATGTAAGTGTCATTGTATTATAATGTTTTTGTTAACCTATCCAGTTGAAGCCAATAGATGCAGCGCTGATGCGTTGTTCATTAAAAATATAGTGGAAAAATAGAACATCAATGCGGAGAAGATCTTGTTTACATCAAAACCGAAACCAAGCCGTTCACACAAAACACATATTTCACGCATTTTCTAGAGGGACACCTATCACTGTTGCACTCACGTCTCGCACAAAAGAGCCGCATGTTTAGAAAGCCATGTAAATTTACAAAAACATATCGAGACTTTATGGCGGGTTTTTTTCCCCATCCCACTGCATCTCATGTTTTTAAATGAAAAATGTACTCCCGTGTGATTGGCTTTCAAAAACGGTTATGCTCACCAAGTGAAAGAATCACGTGTGTGCCGAACTCTTATTACAAAGCAAACACAGACACTCTTCTTCGATCCATGAACGTTTCTCTCAGTTAATGTGCGCGATGTCATTTCACAGTCCGAAACGTCTGTCATAGCAAATCAACACAAGCTGTTGTGAATAATTAAGCGAAGTGTCTTCTCATAGGATAAGAACACGCAGTCTCATGAATAATTTTATAGACACCGACGCGTCATCGATGTACTATAGTCCATTGCCCCGTCACAAATTGTGACGTCAACACAATGTAGATTTTAAACCCGGAAGATGAAAATAGAGCAAAAAAGCTTCAAATTAACCAGTTTTCTCAAACAGTTAAAATTATCGGATGCTAACATTGTCTTCCATGATGTGCAACACAAACACCTCTGCTAAAATCTCAGAAAAAGTAGCCTGGGGTTTCATGACCCTTTAAAGTTTAGTGATTTAAACAAAATCCCATGTTTGCCATAGCAAGCACTAGGGCTGTCCATTTTTTTTTTAGAATTTCGAATATTCGTCGAATTTAAAATAAAAATCCGCATTGGAATTTTAGGTGTGCGTTAAGGAGGCAGCCTTATCAGTGGCGCATGAGATACGATGACGATGTAAGTGTCATTGTATTATAATGTTTTTGTTAACCTATCCAGTTGAAGCCAATAGATGCAGCGCTGATGCGTTGTTCATTAAAAATATAGTGGAAAAATAGAACATCAATGCGGAGAAGATCTTGTTTACATCAAAACCGAAACCAAGCCGTTCACACAAAACACATATTTCACGCATTTTCTAGAGGGACACCTATCACTGTTGCACTCACGTCTCGCACAAAAGAGCCGCATGTTTAGAAAGCCATGTAAATTTACAAAAACATATCGAGACTTTATGGCGGGTTTTTTTCCCCATCCCACTGCATCTCATGTTTTTAAATGAAAAATGTACTCCCGTGTGATTGGCTTTCCGCCCTTTGTATTAAACTATGCATACACACATGATGCCGTTTTATTTATAGTTGTTTAAGCAACTTAATTATAATTGGTTTATAAACATTATTTTAAACATTATGCACTTTTTTTCGCAGATAGTGATGTTATCTTATGCTTTGAATGATGCGCCCTCTTGTGGCCTCAGGAGAGAAGCCAAAAGCTTTTCTTCACCCTAACTGAAATTATGCATTTTAAATTCGAATATAATTCGAATTTTGATAATATT